ACTGGCCTAGGGGATGTCTTGGAAAAGCTGATCTGGGTAGTCAGTGAGTGACCTGGCCAAGAGACTGTGACGTCACTTGGAGGACAGGTCCTTGAGTTCTGGACTTGGGATAACAGAGATGGAATTTGTCCCTCCTCAAGGGTACAGTGCTTGACAACCACACCTGTCCACCAAACACCACAGTGTTTCTCTTCTGCCAGCCCTGCAGTTCCTGGTCCCCCATACTGTCAATGTTCATCCACTGATACCCCCACCATCAAAACAGTAACCATCCTGCCAGACCCCCATCTACGGAGCCTACCTCTGCCGCCCCACCCTAACCTTCCGGCCTCGCAACAGCCAAGAGCCATAAGCCCAAGTCTCAGTCTGACTCTAACTGGTTGTTTGACCTATGACAGTACACTCCAGGGTATAAAGGCTCCTTTTGGCTCAAAAATTTTATTTGTTATAGTCTGCGCCCTTCGGGGGCTATAAGTTCAATGAATTGAAGGGAAAATAAACTCAGCACTTTGTGAAGCTGTGATAGCTACCGTTTACAAGAAGCCTGCTAAGTGCCTGGTGTTTGCAGGGTGCTATATGCCCATTATTTCCACTCCCTATAAGAACCCTACAAAGTAAGCAACAGTATGCTCTTGGTGTAGGGGAAGAAATCAAAGCTCAACCTGGTTGGCAGTCCAAGATGCCCTGCTAATAAATGTGAGATCCATGATTTGAACTTGGATTTGTCTGATTACAGAATCTGTACTAAAGTATGCCTTCCCATAAAGAGAGCCAGGGACCAGGCATGGTGGCTCACACCTGTAATCCCAGCACTTTGGGAGGCTGAGGCTGGCAGATCATGAGGTCAGATCAAAACCATCCTGGCTGATATGGTGAAACCCCATCTCTACTAAAAATACAAAAATCAAGGGGCATGGCGACATGCACCTGTAGTCCCGGCTACTCAGGAGGCTGAAGCAGAATTGCTTGAACCCATGAGGCAGAGCCTTCAGTGAGCCGGGAATGTGCCACTGCACTCCATCCTGGGTGACAGAGCAAGACTCCATCTCAAAAAAGACAGAGACAGAGACAGAGACAGAGACAGAGACAGAGACAGAGACAGAGCGAGAGCCAGGAATGAGAAGCACAAGCTCTCTGGACAAAGGCAGGTCAGCGGGAGCTCCCCTGTGACTGGGACCCAAGAACTCCTCCTAGGTCACCCCAAGTGATCTGCTCAAAAAGGAGTATCTGAAGGTCATCCGATGCAGCCGATCCCCAGACAGGATGCGATAAGGCACCAGGGCCAATCTGGAATCAAGAGCTCCACGGCACTGAAGCTCCAGCTCTGATTGAATGCGTCAGGCCAGACCCTGGGTAATTACCAAGCTGTAATGGGATCTGATATTTATATTAGTCACGAGCCTGACAGAGAAAACGTGTTGTTTTCTCAGGCACAGCCATGGAGACAACATCTCGATAATTCATTACACACAGACCATCTTTGATCAAGCCCAGGCTTCTACAAGGACAACAGCTCAAATTGAGAATAGAAATAACTCTATTCCCAGCCACACTCAGGCCCTTCAGCAAACTACAGCTCCATCAGGAAGTTGGCCTCGGTTTCCCCAGATATTTAATGAGAAGTGGACCATATGCTGGAAGACGAGCAGAAGGTGGAAATAAAGATACGTAACTGTTCTGAGACTGAATTCCTAGAGGAATTGCTGGGGAATTGCAAAATACATTCTGAGCTAGAAACTTTAACCCTCATTCCTCAACTCCTCTCCCTCTCCTATATCGAATCACAGAGCAGGAAGGGACGTTAGAACTCACAGAATTCAATTCCCACATTTTATATACAAGGAAAGAGAGACACCAGAGAGATTAAATAACTTCTTCAAAGCCATGGCTTTATTCAGGCTACCAGAGGAGCTCACTATTCAATATAATCTACAACAGGATTGAACTTCACAATGTCACAGCCAAGTGAATAGAGAGCTCTGATAAAATCCAACAAACTAAAAAACAATAATGCAAAAAATTACAGCAAAGAACACTGGAATGACTGTGACCAAGTTCCCAACAGGAGGAAATTGTCATGTTTTCTTCTTCACTTTCTGAAAAAGTGCAGAAGAAATCTTTATTTGAAAAGAATAAAATCATTCCCTATTTGAGATTCAGAGGCCAAAGGTACTAAGGAAGAGATGTCCCACTATGCATGTTCACAGTCTTGGGTTCCTTTGATCAAAAAGGTTGGTGCAATTCCAGAGACCAAACGCTCATGAAACTGGAGTTCCTTGCTGAATTTTATCTCCCACAGAACTTCGGATGCTTTTTACAAAAGACCTCCTTTCCTCTGGACTCCAGCTTTTGATCAAACCATCTTGGGGCTGAAGGAGGGTGAGGGTGAACCCATCTGAGGGCTGGTAGAATTTTCTAGAAAAGCAGCCTATATTTTTCTTGGGAAATCTAGCACAAAAGTTATTATTCTAAACTTAAGCCAAATACGTGCCTGTGTATCAAGTCTTGAGAAAACTACCAAATACTTGGAAAGCAAAAAGAACAAAAGAAAAAAAAAATACAATTGCAATAAAAATACAGACCTCAAGGGTAGAAAGATAAGCTTTTAAAATGCCTGACTTATCATTATTGCTTAGAATGAGCTAGCTACCTATGCTTTAAGTGAGCAAATCTAGGGGCAGTTATCAAGAGATTCTGGGCATGCTTTAAAACGGACTCATGGTATCAAAAGGAACCTGTACTCATTGGAAACTGGCCTCACATCTTCTCAACCAACCACCATCACTTCTCATCCCTGGCAAATTTCTTGTAGCAACTAACTTCCAGTTATGTCCACTCAGCAGGTCTTGGAGCTACAAAATATAGCCAAATATTTACGGACTGTTTTTTCTAATCATTGCCAGAAACCTATTTTTTTGAGTAAACTGACAGAAGTTATGCTTGCTCATCATTTAGGAGATCCTTTGTGTGTGCGATGGGATTAGCATTTCATTACAGGCACTGCAATCGCATTTCTGTACCCACTAGCGTAAAAAGATCTTGAAAGCTATGTTTAAGACCCCAGGATCACAAAAACACCACGAGTTATTTTGAATCATCGAAAAAGTTTTCGTTACAATCAAAATTGCCCACTGCCTGGAAAAAAAGCAAGCTGTCAAAAAGTTCACCCAGATCACTCCATCTAGGGAACATTTCAGATCTTTCCCCTAAAGACAGTTCCTGAATCTCAGTAAACGGGGAAACAAAACTCCTGAGACTGTTGGGGTGGGTGGAGGAGAGGGATGGAGAGAGGGAATGTGGGAATTTGAAGGCTCCAGAAATAAGCTGTCTCAGGGTCTCATCAGGAAGGTTAGGCAGGGATCTGGTGTATAGGGCTTTGCTTAACCTGAGGGTTTCTCTGGAAAGTGGCAGGTTTTCCTCCTTAACAATAAAAAGGAACTTCTCCAGCTGAGAAGGTAATTCCAAAGAAAGCTCTCTGGCCAACACCTGCAGGCCTCCGAGAAGCCCGAGAATGAGGATAAGAATGATGGTTTTCATATTTCTCCCTTTGTTCCAATACACTGGTATTTTCCAAAACACAAATGTGCTACCACAAAACACAGCTGAGCTCCAGCACCCAACAGGATGTGTAATTAATGATCAGGAGAGAGCCTCGGTTCCCCCTGGTGTTTTCATAGCCAGCCTTCACCCATAGCCCCTGGCTTCCCTACTTCTCTCAGCCCCCAAGGAGGCTTCTACAAGTTGCTGTGCCCTATGGAAGTTTGAGGGGGTCCTCGGATTAACTTTACTAGAAAAGATGTGAACATGTGGGGACTGCGATGTGTATCCACCTTGCACTCTTCACCTGGATATCCCTTCCCTTCAAAACGGTTAGTGCTGTGAAGTCCCCTCGGATGGGAATTCCTCAGAAAGAAGGCAGCTGGGTTACTCTCTTGTTTCCAGTTCTTTCTTCTTTATTCTGCAATTTTCTATCAAACACCATAGGGTCCCCCATTCCAGCCAGCGGCTACGGGGAAGGGAGGACATCTCTAGGGACACGAGTACAGACCAGGCAGTGAGCCTAGCAACCATACATCGAAGCCTCAGTGTCGCCAGCCTCAGTGCTGGTGGGCGTCTGCGCCAGGAATAGCTAAAGCCGACGACATCTAGCCACCTCGAGCGCCAGGGAAGAAGCTCCGCGTAAAACCGCGGCCTCAGGCGGATCTCCGCTCCAGCTTCGCGCTGCTGGGCATTTCCGGGGACCCAAAGTGGGTGGCCTGGGGGCAAAGGAACAGAGGCCGAAGAACTTGGGGTATGTTCCACTAGCACACCTAGGGGACGAAGTGGGAGGTGACATCGGATCTGCCACCTCGACACGTTCTGAATGTGGCAGCCCGGTGGGCTGCCCCCAATACTGGGATGGATCTCCCCAACTTCTCTCGCCCCTCGAAGTCCCCCCACTACCTCGGGCCATACTCCTCCCCCGGGATTCCCATGTGCAAAATTATTCTCTCCCTTGCGCAAAGAATTTTCTCTTCTATCTGACCCCACGAACTTATTTCCCCAACAGGTTCCTAAAGTATGGGCGGATGTGCTCCCTCTCGCCCACCGACAGGAGCCGTGCCCCGACAGGTGAGCGGTGCAGAACACGCACCCAACGGCCCCCAGCTTCCTCCGTCCAAGCGGGGTTGGTTCTCCTCACCCCGCACCACGGCACCCGAGCCCGTGCGTCCCCCACCCCGGCCCCAGCCGCAGCCAACAACCCTACAATAAACAAGAAGACAGGATCGGGCATCCGCGTCCGGGAGCGCACTGGCTGGGGGCAACTCCTCACCCTCGGCGCGCCGCCCGCTGCCCGGATCCGAGAGCACCGAGAGAGCGGAGGAAAGGGAAGGCGGCGGGGGGAAGGCAGGCGGGATGAAGGGAGGCACGGCACCGCACGGAGCGAGGAGGTGGGCTGCAGGGGACGCCGAGAAGCGGCGGGGCTGGCGCAGAGGGCGGGCGCCCGGGGCGCGCGTTACCTTCGTCTTGCCCCCGCAGTGGCAGCACACGGTCCACAGGTACTTGAGCGTCCGCCAGAGCAAGATGATGAAAAGGCCCCCGAAGAAAGTCACCATGGAGGAGGCCAGGAAAGCCCACCACATGCGTTGGCCCCGGCTGTCGCACGGCACCTCCATGGTCACCGGGATGATGAGCGCATCCATCTTGGGCTCGTGGACCGAGGACGAGGAGGAAGAGGAGGAGGAAGAAGAAGAGGAAGAGGAGGAGGAGGACGCGTCTAGGCTGAGATGGTTCGCGTGGATATTGCTACTCATTCTAAGACTGCTGCCTCCGCCGCCGCCGCCGCCGCCGCTGCTGCCGCCGCCGCCGCCGCCACCATTTGCCATAGCTAGCAACGGGCAGCCGGCGCAGGGGCTCGGGGGAGCTCCTCCCGCCGCCAGCGCCACCCCGAACACCCATCAACAGCCATATTGCTGCTACTGCTGCCGCTGCTGCCGCCGCGGAGCGCGGGAGGGGGGCGGGGAGGCGCCTGGGCTCGGGGCGCTGTGCGCGACCTGGCGGGGTGCGCCGAGATATATACAGCGAGCCGCCGCCGCCCGCCCTCCCCCCGGCCGCCGGCCCGCCCGGGGGGGAGGGGGATGGAGCGCGCGGGCAGCTCCCCCTCCCCGGCCCGCGCCCCACTAGCCCCGGGCTGCGCTGGCCCCGAGCGCCGAGAGCCAGGGGGCGCCGCGGGCCGCCCGCGCCCGGGGTCTGCGCCGCCCCCGGGCCCGCCCTGGCTCCTCGCGCGGGCCCGGGTGTCCTCGGCGCCGCGCCGCCTGCCGTGCGCCACTGGTGTGCGCTGCGCTCCGCCCGGGGACCCCCCTTCCCCGAGCGCCTCCCGCGCGGCTAAAGAGCCGCTCTAGGCTTATTAGGCGGCAACTCGTTAATAATGGATAATCGGCCCCCTCAGCCCGGGCGCCCCCGCGCCAGCCCTCCTCCCCCGGGCTCGCTCGGCTGCGGCTCGCCGCCCCAGTGCGCGCCCGGCCGCGGCAGGTTCACCGCGTCCGGTCGCCGGGCCGTGACCGCCTGCTAGCCCATGCTCCCGGGACCGCCGAGTCCTGTCGCCACGCCGCTAAGCGTCCTCGGCCTCCGCTCACTCTTCCTCCTCGCCGCCTCCGACTCCTCCTCGTCCCCGTCCTCGCCGCCAGAGCCTCTTCGGCGCGCGCCCCGCGCTCCCCTCAGCCGCCAGCAGCTGCAGCTGCAGCAACTGGAGCGGGCGCGGGCTCTGGACGCCCGAGGCGGGAGGGGAAGAGGCTCGCCGCGCTAGTTCGCCTGGGCTCCGGGCTGGGCAGGGGCGGGCAGGGGCGGGCAGGGCCCCTCGGCGGCGGCCCGACACGCTCCCCAGACTCCCAGGGCGCAAGGTAGAGCGCCCCCAGCCCAGGTGCGGGGCCAGGCGCCTCTCTCCAAAGTGCGGCGCCCCCAACCGAGCGCGGTGGGGTACCCCGGGAGGATGGCGGGGCGCCCTGGGCAGGCCTTTTTGCCCAAAGAGCCCCCAGTGGGGAGGGAAGGAGTGGCCATATGTCAACTAGATTCCACAGGCTGAGCGCCCCAGGACCCTCGGGCTTCGGGAGTGAGGACGAACCTACGCCAGGATACACACAGCTACCCACCCCTACTTCGCTCTTCTCCCTGCTTCCTATGTGCCCAGTGTCCCGCATGCGGTTGGAGGGCAGGGTCAGGAAGGCCGGCGGGTGGTCTGTGGCCTCTGACAGCAGCAGGTGGTTTTCTCCTTTTCGCTTATTAGCGACAGAGGCTGCCCAATAGAGAGTAGGCAGAGATCATCAGGGCGAGCTGGCTGGGGTAGTGCAGGCGGATAGACCACAGAGTTCCCTAAAGGGTTGCTTTCCTCTTGTATAGTCCCGGACTTCATCCATCCTGTGAGGAGGACAGATGAGGGAAGGGGGGCTTCAGGCTTCATTCCGGCTCACCGCTCCCTATTTAGGGTCTTCCCGTTTCCCACTTAAGATGAAGAAGTCCGTGTTTGTTCCTTAGCCTCTCTGCGTATACCACCCGGGGAATCCCCCTTCCAACACTTGCAGAAACTTTGCGCCCCTTGGACACTGTCCCTCCTCATGCTACCAGCGGGACCACAAGTTTTTTCCAGAGCGGATTAAATCGAAGATGATCACGCTTTCCCCTCATTGCTGCAGTGGTTTCCTCAAAGTTTCCAGCTCATTAGTTTAGGCCTAACGAATTCTTAGGTTCCTTTCAGCTCTTCCCGTGGAAAAGGCCCAAGTTAGCATCCTTAGCTTTACACTTGCGGCTGTCTCCTCGGGAGTCAGATCAGCCCTGCCCTTGTCCTTGGAGGTCTCTGGAAGGAAGAGTGGCAAGGGAGGCTGAGCTGAGCAAAGAGGCTGAAGACGGTGTTTGAAGCCTCTCTCTTGCTTGATTCAGAATGCATTCATTGGGTTTAGGGTACACTTCCACTAAGAAAGAGTCAAGGCTCAAGTCAAAGGAGAAAATGGAATGAGGTAAGAGTTCTTGAATATTTAGTTCTCAAAAAGCAGTATATGTAGGAGGGAGCTGCAGAGAGTGTTCTCCAGAAAATGGAATTGTGTGAGCCTCCTCTCTGTACCGTCCCATAGTACCTCCAACCTTGGCCTCTGTGTTCAGCCACTCTGAATGCATCCCTGCCACACCAGTCCCAAGCATGCAAAGGTCCTGGGGCTGAGGGAGCTGGACCCAGGAGTGCTGTGGGGATGCACAGGAAGGTGACTGTGGCATTGAGGTTCCTTTATTTATTAGCCTTCTCAATGGCTGTACTTTGCTGTCTTTGTACCATAGCATATGCCAAGAAAGTTAAGGACATTCCTTAAATCAAGGCCAAGATTTGAAATTTAAAAATAAGACACCCAGAACATACAAAGAGTAGCAAAGGATAGGGCTGTCTCCCCAGTGGGATACGAAACATCCAGAATGGATTCCCTCGCCCACACAATTGAAATTTTGCAAACTAGCAGATGTGGGGCCCTCTCAAACATCCCCTACAGCCTGGATTCCCCTGAAATGCTAGTCTGTGGCTACTGGTAAGCAGCTGATGGCTTTGGCTTCTGTCACCCCAGCTGCAGAATCCATAGGTTTTTCTCCTCCTTCATCACCTTCATCACCTCAGCATCTTTGGAGAGGGTGTTGGGAGGCCCCTCAGATGCCAGCTCCTTCTGCTCTCTTCACCACCCTTGCCTCTGCTGATTGAAGCTCTGAGCAACTTCTACACTATCCAAGATCTCGGCTCAGGATTCATCAGAGATCCTCAGTGTTGAAGTCAGTGTTTTCCCCCTTCCTACAATCCCTAATCTCTCACCACCTCCCTGAATGGCCTAGCTGGTAGGCACTGAGAGAGTGCCACCATCCACCAGAAATAGACATTGCCAGACCTTTGCCCAGTTCTCTCTGGCCATTTCCACATTGTGTGCAAACTTTTGCACCACTTCCAGAAAACTTGGCACCTGGCATTACCAATTGAGGAAAAGGCTCTGCACAGACTAAATGGAATCTCAAACTTAAAAGGAACCTTAGGTATCTTTGATATGATGTGTTTCTTCATTTATACAAACAAAATAAAACCAGAAACTGCCCTGCCTACCTCTAAGGGTTATGTGTGAGGATGAAAAAAGAAGGCTGGGTGTGGTGGCTCATGCCTGTAATCCCACCACTTTGGGAGGCTAAGACGGGTGGATAACCTGAGGTCAGGAGTTTGAGACCAGCCTGGCCAAAAGGGTGAAACCCCATCTCTGCTAATAATACAACAATTAACTGGGCATGGTGTCACATGCCTATAATTCTAGCTACTTGTGAGGCTGAGAATCGCTTTAACCTAGGAGGTGGAGGTTGCAGTGAGCACCACCGCACTCCAGCCTGGATGACAGAGTGAAACTGTCTCTCAAAAGAAAAAAAAGAAAACATCATACAGATCTTGACTGTCATTACTATAACCCAAAAAATGGACAGCCAAAGTCTAACTAGATCTTCTGACCCCTGAGCTCATACTTGCATGCGCACATGCCCCCATGCCATGCTGTTCACAGCATGTCCACAGCCAGACTCTGGCCACAGTCCAGGGCACAGCAGAGCCCCTCCAGCCTGAATGGGCTCTCTGACTACCCAACACTCATGCCCATTCCTTGTCTTGCAGTCCCTGGACAGCCTTGGAAATGGGAATGGTGTAGAGAAGCACTATAAGCACAGCACATCTTCCCCTAATGTGGGTGTGTCTGCTGGCTGGAAATTGACATCCATTGCACAAGAACTGAAAGCCTCAACAAAAGTAGAGGCTTCACCCTCTGTTCTGAAAACACTGTGAGCCACCTATTTTTATTTCTAAATGCATTTAAAAGCTTCCCAGAAAGAAAGGCAACCTGTGTACCCTGTGCATGTGTGTCTATCACAGCTCTCAAAGCAAATCAGAGGTTTCAAGTTTAAGTATTCTGATCTGAACAATCCTGATTTAAAAGAAATAAAAGGAAGTGCATAAACATACATACTAAAAAAGCAGAGTGACTAAAGTAAAAGCCAAGGAAAACAAGAAAGGTTATTTACTGAAAAGTTGGCCCAGCATCACAATTAATGTGCAATGGATTTTCTTTTCCTCCAACCTGGACCCAGTTCCAATACTCTTGACATCAGTCTTGGTGATTTCGCGATGGAGAAGGCAGGTGGTGACTCTTTAAATGATATATCGCCCTCTGGTGGATCTTCCTGGCCCATGACATTATTTCATGAATGTTCAAAAAAGGGGCTTAGTTTAACAGTCTGAAACATAAGATATGAAAATTCCAAAAAGGAAAACCCTGCTGGAAAAAACTACAGGGATTAGGGAGGCGGCATGGATCAGGACGATGTTGGTCAAAGAATACAAAATTTCAGTTAGGAGGATCAAGAGATCTAATTGTGCAACATGGTGACTACTGTGGATAGTGATGTTTTGTATACTTGAAAACCACTGAGAGAGTTTAAGTCTTCTCACCATTGATAAATGATAAGTATGTGAGGTAACACATATGTTAATTTATTTGTTTATTTTATTTAGTCCTTCCACAATGCATATGTATTTTGAAACATCATATACGCCAAAAACACATTTTTTGCCCATGTTTTTAAAAATAAATAAGGAAAAAAATTATAAACAACAGCAAGAAACCCCTACAGCTTCAGCAGAAGGAATTAACTAGTAACCAGTTCTACCAGCATATAAACTGTTTTGGATAAAGGCAGCTGACAAAGTTCACATTATTACCATGACTTGATGACAGATCTCAACTGTTACTGCCCCCAGTAATCCTGCCCTGCCTTAAATCACCACTGTGTTTTCTTTTAAAGTCAGAAGTATCCCTTTTTCTAATCACCCTTGGTCTTCACAATCTCTTTGTGAAGTGAAAAAGGGCCGTAGCAGCCCGGTGCGGTGGCTCACACCTGTAATCCCAGCACTTTGGGAGGCCAAGGCAGGTGGACCACCTGATGTCAGGAGTTTGAGACTAGCCGGGCCAACATGAGGAAACCCCATCTCCACTAAAAATACAAAAATTAGCCAGTCATGGTGGCGCACATCTGTAATCTCAGCTACTCGGGAGGCTGAGGCAGGAGAATTGCTTGAACCAGGGAGATGGAGGTCGCAGTAAGTCAAGATCACTCCAACTGGCGACAGAGCAAGATTCCATCTCAAAAAAAAAGTGGGGGCAACAGCTATTTTCCCACTTTACCGGTAAGAAAACTGAGGCTTAGATCCGTCAGGTTACTTGGCGCAACAAGGAAGGTCTCTTACCTCTCAAATGATTTGTCTTTTTGTAATTTATAACAGTGGAGAGTGGGTCTTAGAGAACAAGCTTTCAGGTGCTTGCATTTCTATAGATATTTATTTTATATTTACTTCTGCTTATAAGAATAATTCATATGTATTATAAACTTTGGAATATAAAAGTTTCATATATACTTCAAGTCAGTGACAAGAAAAAAGAATATAACACCTGGAATCTTACCACCCAAAATAGCCATTATTAATATTTTTATATATTTCTCTCACACCTTTTTCTTGGGTGTATATTTCTGCAAAATTAGGGTTAGATTGAACATCTAACTTTTATCCTATTTTCCCTTAACATGAAATTGTTAGCATTTTCTTTATGTCATTAAACAGCATGGAAAACACTATTTTAAAAAATAATAGTGAAATAACATTCCAGTAGATGGCATACTCCTGGCATTTAGATGATTCCAAAGTTTAATATGTTTTAAAATAAATTCTACAACTGTGTGCAAATGACTTCTAGTTGTCAAAAAGATGTCCAGAAGATTTCCACTGATATGCTTCCATCCTGTCTCCAGCGTCTTGGGATAGCAGG